TCAGATCAAAGCCTAGTAAACCTGTTAAAGTGCCATATCCAAGGGCCTGTAGCCAAAAATACTTTGGAAACTGTGCTTGTCTGTGCCTGATAAAGCTTTACTCCTTACCTCATATTATATTTGATTCAGTTTGCTTGGTTGTGGAGTTTGGATGCTTAGTTCACTTGGATAATCTTATTATTGGTCAATTAGTTGTACATCAAGTTTGGAGCTTGTATGAAGTTTGTGACAGTGTTGACAATATATCACAACTCCTCCATCAAAATATATCGTAACTTTAAGTCGTGTTTGCTTAATGATCTCATCATCTCAGTCATTGTGATTCATATGATTTGTATAAATATTTTATCTATCACTGGGTAAACAGTTCAGAGCAAGGAAAGGCTGGTGTTAGCAGCTGCATACAAAACACAGCATTAGGGCTGTTTGATGTTGCTATTACTCATAAAGACAGATCGTTAATGGCAATGGTTAGAGCATCTTCAGATGAGTGAACAATAAAATGTTGTTCCTGTAGATGAGTGAACGTTTCCTATGGACATCGTTACTGGAGTTGTCTTCCCTCAATGAGTTTGAGCAATGTCTCTGTGCCCTCTTCCAATATTTTAATCAACTTTATTAAGCTGAATGGACTTGATAGGAGACTTGTAGTAGCTACAAACTTTTGGAGGTGGCCAACATGCCCTTAATGCCGAAGAATACAATCTTACCAGTTATAAAAAAATAATATTTTAATGTACCAAGTAGTCTGCAATATATGAATAGGATCAAAGGTTAAGCTTGTACTTCCAAGTTTCAAAAAAATGTTTATGTTGAACGTCTAATTTAGGTAGGTTAGATTGTTTCAATGTTCCTTCTATAATCTGTTCCCCTTCTTGCATATATAGTAGGTACTGAAACTTTTATCCATATTCCTTGGATGCTTTCTAGTGCCCACCCTGCGTGGGTAGAACAGCAGTGAATAGTTATGACTAGAGGAGAAATTATCATACCTACTTTCTTCAGTAAGATACAAATGAATTTTCTTAGATATAATACTGGTTTCACAGAATCGAAATCTGCAACTTCCTTGTTACACAGTGTCTGTCTTATCAAGAGAACTTCTATACCCAAACTAAGTTTGTGGCTATAAGTTATTACATGGTGTGAAAGAAGGATATTAGCTGCTGAGTCTAGAACTTTTCTGAGGCTTTTATCTTCACATTTTCTACTTCCTAAATATATGTATGTAACTGATGAAGCTTGGGGGACTGGGGAGGTTGAATAAAAATGTTTGTGATAGATTTGCTGATGTTTTATGCATTTTCAGCTATTTTGCTAATTAGTGTGGAGCCTTCTTTTCTCTTCATATGTTGCATTAAAATTTTTGAGCCTTTCTTCTAAGTGGAAATACATAATCCTTGTACTTCCTTCCTGTTTCTGGTGCAAAATTTTAATGTTTCATCCAGTATTTTGTACCAGTTAAGATCTAACTTTAAATCAACTTAGGATTAGGACATACGTACTTACTGGTCAAGCTTTAGCATAATTGTGAACCAGATCTAAGTTCTGCTATTCAAAGCATAAGTTCTGCTAAATACAAATTAAAGTATTTATGCCAAAAATTATCAAGAAGCTTATATCCGTGCTCGTTTACAAGACTAGAATATCATTCTCTACTTATTTAAAGCAAAGGGAAAAAATTAACAAGTATGTGCTACTATGCATGTCTTGACAGGGATGGTGACTAAAAGCGTAGATAGATTTTTTCTTGAGTTCATTATGTCTCTTTAAACTTCCTCCATCAGAATTGCTATAGCAGCAACCTAGTATGTATACACATTGAAGAGCAACCAGTCACCTTACTAGATGGTATGTGACCTCAATTGAGGTTGGCTTCATTCTCTTCAAGTTTGTCAAACAGGATTTAGCTGATGTAGAAACATTAACTTAGAAATACTTAGAAAAGAAGAAAAAAAAATATGGGTCGTTATCTTCTTTTCCTGTCAGTATAAGTTAAATGGTTATGATTTAGGTGAGTTATAGAGCACCTAAAGGTGTGGTCCAGTGGTCACTAAAGTGGGTTGAGAACCACAAGGTCTCAGGTTCAAATTCTAGTGGAGGCAACAACACTGATTTCATCCCATCTGTTCAAGCATTGGCGTATACCTCTACTAGTGGGAGGTAGCAGGTATTCCATGAAATTAATTCAGGTATGCAGAATCTGACTTGGACAGCATTGTATAAAGAAAATGAACTAGGTGAATTACGGGCTTCCTCATAAGTCATCACTCATCACCATGAATGGCATTCCTTCTAAACCCTGGCCAGACATTTGTCTCCTTCGGGGATTCTCAGTTTTGCGACGTTGTTCTACTTGGGATGTGGAGTTAAGTTACAGTTTTATGTTCAATTAAGTTCAAACTGTTAACAAACTTTGATATGGGAATAATTGCATGCAAAAACATTTTTCTTCTGTAATAAATATTCTTTTCCCTAGAGCCACATTTAAAATGAGGGGATACTTTTTCTGGTGAAAAGTAAACTCAAATGGAGAACCTGATACTTTTTCTTGTGAAAAGTATACTCAAATAGAGAACCAAAACATCACGAGAAGTAGATAGATAAAAGTACAGAATCTTTCCAGACATGAAACTGAAAATCAGCATGGCACTCACAACATCTATGGCTTATATAAGAATGCTAAGATTCCCTGTTTATGATGTTACTCCTTCTTTACTTTGTATTCATGTCATGTAACTATGTTATGTTATTGTATAGAATTTTGATATTGAAATATTAAGTAATATAATTAAGGCAGTCGCACATATATGGACAATACACTGCAAAATCTTGCAGGATTTTCATCCTAGTATTGCTTTTAGATCAGTTATGGTTTACAACTAAGTATTGAGGGTAGAGGTTCTCGATGTTTCTGTATGTGACATTGTATGTTAAGTTTTTTTTTTTTTTTTTTATAACCGAGAAATCCGTCTGT